AGAGGCTTTTCATTGTTTCGCATTGCTGCAGCACAGAAATTTCCTCACCGAAACACACAATTGGCGTTCTAATTTGAGAAAGTACTTTTTGAAAGGCACAATAGATACCCGAAGATAAAGGCCGAAAGAGTAAATCAGAAGGGCTGGCAAGCGAACCGAACCCCCTTCGATTGGTCCATTTTTTTTAGTAGCAAGTTAATACGATTTAGAATTATTGTCAGCTTTCTTTTAAGCAGTTTTTGGCACTAATCGGACTACCTCCGAATGTCTCTGGATCCTATACAGAGTGAACAGAGAGGGATTTTGGCTTTTGACTTTCCGGGGGTATCGATTTCTTTTTGGACGTAATACTGAGAAGACCGAGGGAGCTCAGTATTTGAAAATCGTTCAGAAATCTTACAGTCCTAGCTGAATTTTTTACATTTCGAAACTTGTCTGGACGTCAGCCTACGCTTAGGTGTACGTTACTCCTTAGAAAGAGCTCAACTGATCCTTCTATTTTTTTGAATATCCAAAACCCCTTCTGCTTTCACTGCTTGTGGGAAGCGTCGTAAAAGTAGTTCTTGAAAAAGGACGCCTTGCCGCCAGCAGTGGTCGGCTGGTGAGGTTATCGATGACTTTTTTCCGAGGGTTGCCTCAATGAGCAGATAGAAGACAGTTTAAGTTTTTTGCGCGCTAGTATAAATTTATTTTTCAAAGTAGTTCACTATTTTCTGGAGGGATTGTTTTTTCCATTCACAGCTACGAGTTATGGACTGGAATTTGGGTTCTATATTCAACATATTGAATACAGTTACCATAAACACCTGTCGCTCATTCCACTCTTCTGTATTGCAGAGCGCAGGATATCGAAGGATGAAAATTTCGAGGATGTCAACAGACATCTTACTTTGCCAGCTCGGATGACTCAAACTCGCGCTGAGGTAGCTCAGTTTTTATGCATTTTTGTGCAGCTATGCAAAGTAGAAAACGCATATTGACGAGGACTTGTCTGTGTGTGTATGTATGTCACGGTTTTTCATCTCGAGACCAACAAAACCTATAGGGCTGAAACTTTGGGAACATAATCTACATGCACGTGCGGGCCCCAATCCCCAAAATGGGCGCCATTACCCGCGTGGCACCCGCGTACAGGCTCGCCAAAATTTTTTTCGGATAAGCTGACAACTCGGGGATCTGAGAAGCTAGAAAGCTGAAATCTTAGGGTGATGTTCATCGTCCAAGTAAGTATTAATGTGCTCAAATCCAGCCCCCGGCTAAGCGT